GCCTAAAGATGATATTTGTTGACCAACATAAAGCACTGACTATTTATAGGATAGCGTAATAATTCAATGCATGGCTCAAATGAAGAATAAAGATCTCTAAGAGTACAATCTAACTCAATGGATATGTGATATCTCCATTGGATTCATTGAATTTGATTTACTAATACATCTTAAGCTAGTGAATGGTTAGTTGAAATATGATAACATTTTTTTATTTAAAAGTTAAAAAAATCTAAGTTTTTTTTTATAAATAAATAAAAAAAAACTTTGCCAGAACTTTAGAATGTTTTTATCTGGCTACTAAGCTTTGTTTTAGGGCCAATGTTCTCACTTTTTTTTTAATAAGAGTACTGCTCATATGATTCCTGATCAAGTATATAATTGTTGATTTTACATATTTATATAGCAATTATGCGCGAAGATCTCATGTAGCTTTTAGTTAGGAATCTGACTTAAAATACTACATATTTCGTTTTTAATCATTTATATGATAAGTACAAAGTTTAGAATAATTTAATCCAATGTTACATGTTTTTTATAATCCAATCTTGCACATAAACTATGGCTATAGAAACAATCAATCAATTAGCCCCTCTTTTCCTCTTTTACTTTATCAAATCACACTGGGATTCATTTGTATTAATTTGGAGGCATTGACATGTGTTATGATGCGTATAAATAACCCTCTCTCTTCACTTTCAAAGTCCAATACATAAATGTTATATGTATTAAATGTAAAAATCAATTTATTAGAAATTTTTTTGAGACAATTTACTTTCATTTGAAGTTGTTAATCGAAGTTCTTATTCTTTGTGGTTTTACACTTGCAATCTCTATGAAAAGTCTTACATATGGATTTTAATTATATATATCTATATTTAAATTCAAACTTGCAATTATAAATTATATTATATTTCAGGGTTATATGATTTTCTTCTAATCACCCTAAAAACTCTCGAAATGCTTTGGCTTAAAAATATTTCTCGTGTATTAGTTAGCTATTATATGGGAAGTATATGATTGAGTTGTGAAAACCTAAGTTGAAAGATGTACAAACAACAATAATTTCTCGACCTACTAATGAGTGAAGGAATTGAACTAGTAATGACAATTGATTAGCGAGGATCGTACATCAATGGAGGGCAAAAGCATGAGCCGATTAGGGATTGAATCATATAAAAATTGTTAGTGGCTAAAATCTCCATAGCTACCTTTTTTAGTTGGGTTGATATTATATACTCATATAGATTAAGTGTATTCATTTGTGATCAAAATATTATCTCTCTTATAGTTTGCAATCACTATTTTATTGCTTATACCCATGTGTGTCCATTGGGTTTCATTTCTATTAAGCCTATCTTGTGCAAAAATGTAGCCTATATCATAATTATCTTTTGTGGTCACCTACAACATTTGATTAATTAAGTACAAACATATTCTTACTAATATCAATTAAGCACAATCATTTTTAATATTAAAGATTAGAATCATAATAAAAACTAACTCGAACCTAAGTGGCAAATTTTGTTCGATTATAGCACAGGGTTTGGTCCGACTTTTCCAAAATGTATATAGCTGATTTAACGGGTCCATTCTAATAATTTGATAAATTGGGAAAGAATCAAATCAAATTTTCAAGTATAAGATTTAGAAGGGGCCTTTACATACATACCACGCAAATTTTATGTATTTACGTATATAACACCTAAACTTTCATTTCTACATGCATAATACTTGAATCTTCAATATTACGTAAAAAAATATCATTATTATCAACTTTTTTACAAGTAAAAACACATTTTCATGCATTAATTTATGTCACCAAGGTATATATATATATATATATATAGTATTGAGAGAGAAAATTTTAGGTGTTACAAATGTAAATACATAAAACCTATAGGGTATGCATGTAAATTTATCAATTTAGAACGATGAAATAAAAGGAAAATCATATTCATAATTTTCACATATTCACGGATTTAATACTTAAAGTTTGACATTTATTTATCTTATATTTTAACGTAACATTCACATGAAAATATGCATTAAAATATATTTAACAAGAAAAAAAATTAATATCAATGATATTTTTGATATAATGTGAAAGATTTTAATGTTATATTAACAAATATTAAATGTAAGTCCCTAGAAAAGAAAAAAAATGAATATTAAAACTCATGTTAACACATGCAAAATAAAATAAACAATTATATATATATATTTATTATAAGTATTAATAATGACTATTAGTAACTAATTTTCGCTCAATTCGAGAAGAGATGTCTAGCATATATGTTGCATGGATAGGAACACGGAACCGGCACGGACACGAGACACTTCTATTATTAAAAATATGGGACACATACATAGACTAGATAA